TCTATGTATGGCTATCATATGTCAATCCAGATTTTCTTGGAAAACTCCTACCTGTGTGTATTCCCTGAGGCCACATCTGCTGACCTTCATGCACTGTAAGAAATCTGGGGTTTATGAGATGAAGTCAATCCTGAATGCAAGCTCTTGTACTACCATGTGTGCGCAGACTCGCTATGCACTGCAGTGGATCATTTTGTTGAGGTCTTTCCTTGAGGCTATGTTGGCATGTGTCTGGGAGCCTGAAAAATTAAACAGTTCCTCAGAACACACCCAGAAAGATTTTTGTGGCAGAAGGAATGGCAACTTGACGTGTGGTAGTTTTGCATCTTTGGTTCTTGTCCTAAGGATAAGGCTGCACGAGAAGGGGTGGTGGCTTGGACACAAGCTTGGAGAGCTGTTGCACCTGACTGCACTGAAATGAGTTAGCATAAGTCATTGAATGCAGTGTTTACATAACATGAGGAACTAGTCAAAGCTGTAGTTACAATATCAGATATTCTTCCTTTGCCTGTACTGCTACTTAAAATCTGCCTGTTCTTTCCCCAAATAGACCTCCAGGTGGTGAAAAAAATAGAGGAAATCTTTGGAAAATGCTGGCACACCAGTGTTGGGCAGGCTGATACATGCCTCCTAAATCTCTTTCTCCCTGTAGCAGTATCCTTTAGCAGATTTCTTTAGCAGAAACACTTAAATTCTGCAGCTGCTTGTGACATACAATGGGCTTAAATCAGGATTAAATTGCGCTAAAGAATTCAGCGGTGTTACACTGGTGCAAAACCTGGTGTGAGATAAGTCAGGAATCCTTTGTGATTTTTTTTTTTTTATTGCATTAGGTATATGAAATGTAGCTGCTGGCTGGTTTAAGAAGAGTAAAACATCCTCTGTGTCAGGATGGATATATTCTTGTCAGAAGGAAGCTCTCACTCAAAACCAAGCTGTGTCATGCTCGTGATGAATAAGCATGGATGCTATATGTGCAAAGCAATGTTTTTCCATCTGTGTGTGTTAGACTGAGCATAATATAATTTTTAGTGTATGTGAATGCTAGGAACCAGGCTAGAAGCCCAGCATGCAACCTGGTTAGCTGCTTGGCCTGGCAGGCACTGTGCTGCTGATGGAGCAGCAAAACCAGCGTGGCATCTTGTCATAACTGGGCTTGTCTCCAGAAGCTAATTTTCAAACACCAGCAGCTCAGATGTGAAGTTTCCAGAGGTGAGCTGTATTTGATCAGCTGTGTTTGACTGTCACAAGACACATCGGTGGTGGTGGTGTCAAGTGTTTTGTAAGCGTATGATGAACAGTTTGAACAAAATTCTCCCTATGGAAGTTGGTGTTGTCTGAATTACATTACGTAGTTACTGATGTGTTAGTTCAAAATCCAAAGCTGGCTGTTATTTCACTTTACCTGTAGTCTTAAATCAAAAAGGGGCTTTTGAGGAACATGAGAACAAACCTTGTTCTCCACCTTCCTATTTATTTCAATACTAAAGGAATACAGAAAATATGTAATGTTTCCATCAAATTCTGGATTATTTTGATTGTCTTATTTCTGTTCAGAATCAATATATTTGCAGTTTATAGTACATTGTATGCTGCTGGTGGGGGGGCGGAGGCCAAAGGCTTTTCTTGTGAAAAATGATCAAATGTTTCTCCTGGTGTGTCCTTAGGCTTAGAATTCAGCTTTTTGCGAGTTCAAAAATGTCTAAAGTTTGCTGTATTTGACTGCACAGATGAGCACCCAGTTTTTCAGATAGTGGTAAACCTTCCTTGGGATTTAGGAACTCCATGCAAGGTCTATTAAAAGCATATAATTAATCAGTTTTAAAACAAGATGCTAAGGTTGCCTGCTCTGTACAACTAGAATGCAAGCTGTCCATTGTTACAAAATTGTTCAACTGCATGAAGACCCATTATTTCTCATTAAAGGTCTAAACATCCAGCTGATCCAGTAATTTGATTGTCTCAAACACTTCTTAATGCCTTAACAATGAAAAGAGACCTATATATATTTCCTTCTCAAACAGCATTGCTAGGGTGCCTGCAAGCATGAGTCATTTTTTGTGTCTGACCAGTGGTGATAAGGAAGCAAATGATACCTTACAGGTGTTCGCAGCACATCTACAATCAGCAGAAATATTTTTTTGTACCATATTTTTGATGTTAGGACTTTTATTGCAGGAGGAATGAAGCTGTATACCATCACAATTTTTCTCCTATACAATGAAAAATAAATGACACTTAAATATTTTGATTTCATACTTGTCTCAGAATAATGCAGAATTTTCACAGTTAAGAGGTTTTAAAATAAAATGCTACATGGTTTCTAGTCTACAACCTAGTATCCCAGGAAGCTGCTGAAATCTGTTTTCTTGGGATGTACATTGTTATTGACTGTTTTGCTCTCATCTTTCACTGGGGCAGTTATTTCTCAGGACAGTAAGGATACTTGCACATTTATAAATGCATTTCATTTAGTCTTCAGATAAGGAGGATGATGGCTGCAGTTCAGCCTTTACGGGTGTGGAAGGTAAAGCAACAGCGTATTACTATTGGCATTGTAGGAGTCAATCTCTGCTCCCATAATCTAACAGTGAGTTGAATATTTGTGAGAGATAGAGTGTACTTGAAGGAGGAAACTTAAAACACTGTTTTATTCATGTTTTGAATATTTCCATTGCCTTTTTAGTATGATAAACAAAAATGGTATTTAGGTTTCCTCTAGAAATAACAATAAACACATAGGGGTGATGTGGCAAACAAAAAACTTCTAATAGTGCAGTAGCACACAGCTAACTGCACTACAGTTTAGGTTGTGTCAATGTTTCCATCATAAATCCAATTTTCAGAATTTTTTTCAGCTGTAAAAGTCTGCTTCAGTCTGAAACTTGGCAAGGTGTTTCTTTGCCTGAGAATGAACTTTCTTCTTTTTCAACGGAAGTGTATCTGAATTCTTAATTTCCAGGATTTTATAAGCACTTCCAGAGTATTAGTTGCTGTAATACCAGTGGGAGTGTTGAAGTGATTCTCTGGCAGAAGGATATGGCGCGTGCGTGCGTGTGTGTGTGTAAAATACTGATGATTTAATGTACAATGAGATATGTTGTATTATCTGTCTAGTTAAATCACCCTTTGTGGTAAAGGGATTGTAATGCTTATCATAACAAGCAAGTTAGTTGCCCGGGGAGATGTAATAGAGGAAGGCACTGAGCAGGCTTTTCTACAAAACTTTGCAGTGTATGGTAATCTTGACTTACAGTATTGTATCCGCTTCTTTGCTGAGCTGATCTTTGAGCGACTTCGGTTTGTGTTACATTGCAGTGAATCGCATGGTGATGTTCAGATGAATGTAGAGTAGGATTAGACCGAAAACCCATTATCTGGGCAGTCCTCAGGAGGTATAAAGTGATAGGTCTCCTGCCTTGACTGGAACTACTTGCCATCCAGAGGAGTGCAAGAATGATTTATGTCAGAGGCTTTTTGTTGTAGAGCTTCCAAACAAAGCAGTGGGAATGGTGTGGATTAGTGTTTTCTGTGTCATTAAAATTAATCTTGAGAACTGATCCCTTCCTTGCCCCGTCTCTGAATTCTAGCACCCCAGTCAGTGTTTTGAGTGTATAATATTTGCCTTCTGCAATTTGAAATGTGTTAACCATGGCAATCCTTAATTTTTTTTTTTAGGCCGCTCAAAAATAGTATAGTTAAAGGAGATACTGTTTTCCTGACTTTATAATTTTGTTTTGGTTCATAGCGGACTCGATGTCAAGTCCTGCCCAATCACTGGCTGGTGTCCAGACCTAGCTGATGTTAACAGGGAGAGAATTTATTCACACAGCATCTTTCCTTCCTCCTTGCATTGTACTTTGCAAGAAGTGCCTCTCAGCCACCCACTCACAGCACTGTGAAACAAAAGCTTCAACTTCTGTTTGTATTCAGTTATCTCACAAGCTTTCATTGAGCTGCTGTCCAGCAGCTTATCAAAAGTTGCTATTTGTGTGTCAGCTTTGTCTAGTCCTTCCTTCTAGCATGTATTTACTCTGCATGTCAGCTCTCCAAATCGTACAAGTATGTGTTTTAGAAATCTAGACCGATTGTAGGAGGACATGAATGCCTTACGCTTTTTCCATTCTTGATGCAGGATTTCATAGCAATAGATCACCTGGGATGAAAAGTGAATACAACTTTAAGCTGTTGTTTTGTTATCAAGATACTGCTTTCATAAACTATTAAGTTATTAAAACATTTCAAACTGTTACAGTTGAGAAGTACAGCTAATGAATGAGGATCAGCATTTCTGTGCGCTGATGAGATGTTATTCTCTGACTTTGATATCAATATGCAGTGAAGTCTTATAGCTTTACAAGAATTTTGAATATGAATTTTCACCCTTTCATTAAATGTGGATATTTTATCATTATTTATTTGGTCCAGTGCAGCAGTGATAGTGTGATTGGTGTATTACAGACAGCTCCTGTTACCAGTTACTCCTCTGTCTCACAGTTCCAGAACTTGCATCACATAAATAATTTTGCCTATTTAAGTATTCTTCTCTGGAGTTCTATAGGAACACTGAAAATGTTGCAGTCCTCTCTGTGTACTGGAAACTGATGTCACTTGTATGTAGAGGGGTGTTTTGGAAATGTATCTAGTTGAACTGCCCAAATGCAGTGTCAGTTACAAAAGCCATCTTAGATCCTGCCTGTGCCCTGTGGCAGTCCTTCATTGACCTCTAGAGTTTGGGTCACGGTCTAGCTACTGAGAACAAAGTCATCTTTTTTTAAGAAAATATTTGTGTATTGCGTGTTGCCTTTATTATGCACATGTAATGTTTAGGTGTCTTTTAAATCTTACTGGTGAAAGTTGTATTAATGATTAGTGTATTTATATTGCAGATTTCATGTAACTATTGATGTTCCTGTTCAGGACAATATTAGTCCTGTGACTAAGATGTCAGGTGCTTGCTATTAACCTCTAGTTCTTTCTCTCCCCTGCCCCTTTTTTAGAGGCCTTTGAGTCTTTGCTTCGCTTTGCTGAAAACCGCACAAGTTCCCTGTTTGAGACAGCTTACAGACCTATGGCAAAAGAAGCAGCAGAGCCTGTTAAAGAACTTTTTACAGACATCTCTCTCTACATTCTGGGTGCAGAGACTACAGTGGAAAGTGCAGTATTACGGTTCTTTGACAGTCTCTTTCCTCTGGTGTACAGTCGGCTAATAAACCCAGGAATTACAGATTTATCAGAGGACTATACGGAGTGTCTACGGCTTACAAGGCAAGACATAAATCCTTTTGGACGCTATTCTAAAAACATGGTTACAGAGCTGTCAAAATCTCTTTGGGCAAGTAGGATGCTTAGCCAGGCCCTCAGTCTGGGCATTGAAGTGATAAATACTACTGAACATGCAGCTCTCACCAAGGAATGTAGCAAAGCTCTAGTGAAGATGCAGTACTGCCCGCATTGCCAGGGCCTGACACTAATCAGACCCTGTGTCGGATATTGTCTAAATGTAATGAGGGGCTGCTTGGCCAGTGTGTCAGAACTGGATGCACAATGGAGGGAGTATATCTCCACGCTGGAATATCTGACTAATGAAATGGCTGCCTCACATGATCTGGAAATTGCGCTGACGGGAATCCGGAACTCCATCAATGAAGCCATCCTGCATGCACAGTTGAATGGACCACAGCTCTCCACTACAGTAAGTGTTCCCTAATTATTCACTACTCTTATTTATCACTTTCATTATTTGATGAATAAACATTTAAACAAGTTGGTGTTGTCTTTGCATCAGTTCTTAGTTTTCAACTAGATCTGTGTTTAATAGTCTGTGAAAACATAACAGATAATTATGATGGGGTTCAGTAGAGTCTGCTTTGAAATGAAAGGGTTGGGGGGGGAATTTTGTTTGTTAAGAAGCAACCCTGTAAAGCAGATAGCTCTGGCTTGTCTGCAGAATTTTCTAAACAAAAAATTGGGGTATATTATAAAAATACATTGTTGATATCAAGTATACTCTAAAACATCTGTTTCTGTAACTCTAGGAGCAGTGTTCCCCTGGCGTGTGAGTATTTGTAGTGTGTGTGGACATTGCCCAGGAATCAGTAAAAAGGGTTAAAAGAGTGGGTTTCTAAACAAAGGCAAAGATGCTAACTGTTTCATAATTTTACAGTCCCTTTACTTTTGTGTTGACTGAGACATCAGGAAGGTAGTACGGGTCTATGAGTACACCTGTCATACAAAAGTTGGAAAAAGAACATGAAAAAAATCAAACTTATTTGACAGCATTTACTTAAGTAAAGGATAAAAATACACTTAAAGTGGATCCATTTTTGTAAGTGGTAGGTTAAGGAGGAAAGAACTATGATGGTAGAACTGTCTCAAATAATACCAAAATATGACTGGCAGGTGTTCTCTCAAGGTGTTGAAGATTAGACCAGAAATTATTGAAATGACTAATGATGCAGCTGACTACATCTGTATGAAGTTGAACATGACTGTCAATGGAAAAAAATGTAGCAGTGTGGCCTTAAGCAGGGTAAAGACTAATCTAAAAAATGCAGATAGATCTGCCTGTCTTGAAAGTAAAGGAATTCTTGCAGAGAACAAATGAGAAGGAAATGCACAGACCTAAAAATTTAATTCCTGTGCTGAACTCTGGTCACCACATTACGTAAGAGAAAAAAATACTTCAAAGAGTCTACAGAAAGAAGCTATGGCAGAGAGTATTCTAAACTAAGAAAGTATTTTTACTAGGAGAAAAATGCCTGTATGTTTGTAGCCTTTCATGGTACCTAATATCACAGCTCTCTTCAATTTAGAACACCTGACAGAGCCAGAGACTTACAGCCAGTATAATATGTAGATCATAAAAAACCCCCAACCAATTCTAGAAATCTGATAAATTTTTCACCTGATAATTGTAGTTATCTCAGTTCACCTTGCCTCAGGTTCTACTTTACTTTTCATCAGTGACACTTGTGTCTGCTAGTTTATCTGACATCCAGGGATAAACATGAAAAAGTAAGAAAAGATTTGTCCATGTTCTTGGATAATGCACATTACGCATTGGAGCCTACATGCATTGCAGAACAGCAGGTCTTATTGTGCTAATGTCTACTTAGTAGCATCACAACGTATCCCATAAAGCAGTGTTAAACCTACAACAAACATGTAATGAACAATCTCCTTGCATCTGCTCTAATTTTCACTCAGATGTTATTTTTATGTGAGTCTAGAAGGGAAATGAAAATTAAAGTACACTATTATATATATTAGTTTTATCTGACTAATAGATAAGTACCTCAAATCATCACATGGCTTCATTACTGATTACACAGAAATAATTAGGAATAAAGTTAAGCTTTCTGACTACTAGCAGCAAAAATGATCTGACAGATATTTCCTGCAATATATGCAGCATGTTACAAAATGCTAAAACATAATTCTGCATTGCATTTGTCAGCCTCGTAATTAATACACGCTTGCTTAGCTTACTGGTGGGGTAAAATTCATAATCCAGGTGAATATCAGATAATTGCAGATAAAGTCAACGAGTGTATTGCTTTTAGCTGATGTGGAAGTAGAATTCTCTCCGAAGTGCCTTTCAGGCAGAGGATTTTCTTTAATGGTTATTCAAGTCATTTTATTCAGGTCTTTCTCGGTTCCCTAGCAGTAACTTTAAACATTTTCCTTCTTCCATTCAGAATGAATTCAGAAAGCACTGTTGTGTTTGAAACTACATTAATTCTTTTTTCCCCAAAGTTCTCTTTGTTTTTGCTCACTAGCAAAATCTCTGTGCACAGAAAAAGATTGTGTGTTGTTTTAGGGACTGCTCTGTAGGATAGCAAAGGATGTTTTCTGTTTGAGAATAAAAACTATATGCCAGTGTGTGTTCTCCTCAGTCTTCTAGCTTTTTCAGTTGTCAGAAGGGTAAGATTGTATTTTGAAGACAGAGCACATTCCACTATTGGAGCAAGTGTTTAGTCTGATACCGATTTAAAACTTTACTTATTAGTTACAGAGGAGATAACTATTATTTAGAAAATTGAGCCTAATACAGCTACGGAGCTGTATTTTCTTCTCTGAAGAAATGGAAAGGAGTTCAGTCTACAGCTTCAGGATTTCTGGCTTCTCAGAACCCAGGACCTGATTCTAAATTACACTAGGGCCCTTTTGGGCCACGCTGATGGGTTTTGTATCCAGTGTATTTACTGTTTGTTTTACCTATGGGAAAATTTTTAGAAGATACCTTCTCTTTTCCCCTCATGAAAATGTAGAGACCTTTTTCTGTTCATGCGGTATGGTCTTAGGTTCTGCAGAAGTGGAAATGTTTAACTTCTGTACAGTTTCTGTTATAAATGCTGTAATTGCTTTCATTCAATTATAAATAATCTATGGAAAACTAATTCAGGAAAGCAGAGTACTCCTTGTAGTTTTCATTTATCCTGAGGCAGCCTTAATTAATGCACCTGCCCTTTTAGGAAACGTTTTACATTTTCTAATAGACAATAGGGCTAAAAATTAGAGTTCTCTTTTAGCTTGCTGCCTGCCTGGATGATAATGAATAATGGAAAGTTAGATTGTTTTCTTTAAAACAGGGGGAAGGGGTGAAATAAACCAATAAAGCACTTAGGGTACTTTGCTCAAATGAGGTGCAGTCATTTACTGTTAAATTAAAAAAAAAAAAAAATCCTATTTGTATGAAGAGAGCATAACTTCAAGAGTCTGGCCTCTGCTGATCTTGTCCATTATAGCCAAGAGAATTGCCTGATTTGCTGGGGTAGCATGTGTGAAAGGTCACCTTTAAGATATTAGTAATCTCTCTTCAGATTCCTCCAGAATGTGCCATGCCATTTGTTCAATGATACTGGCTTGCATCCAGCTTACTTAACCTAATGCGGGCCAGCCATGGTCTGCAGCATCAGCAATCATAATCATTACTTTCTGGTTTGTCTGCTGGAATCTAATTGTCTTTCGTATTGGTAGGAGCCCTGGCTGCTTCTTGGTGCCAGCTACAGAGACCAAGTTTGTTCACCCATCCTTATCATTTTTGAGGCTTTTTATCTTTGTTTTTTATTTTTGTGTCTTTGTGTTTAAAAGCCGGTCTAATTTTTCAAGTATTCAGTCTACCGTATTGCTGTATTCCAAACTCTGTATTAGTGCATCATTCCTGATTATTTTATTTTTATTTTTTATTCAAAGTGGAAGTAAAATACCCTCAACTAAAATGCAAGGAGGGGGAGAGGGAGTTTTAAAATGCGTGCCGGCCACTGGCACTTCGGGGAAGTGTACCATGAGGTAGTGTAACAAACGCTGTCTGTGCCAGTACTCCCTGGAGTCAGGTCCCAGTAAGGTGGTGGTCCAGTTGCTTGCACAGGTCTAGTGAGGGCTTGCTTGCAGCCCGCCTCCAGCGGACCAAGGGTCTTGAATGGGGACAGGTATTGGAAAAAGAATAACATATGAGGTAGGGAAGATTTCTGTTGGATCAGAAATGGTTAGACTCTGTCCAGCCCCACTAACTACAAATCTGCACCTCCATGGGTACGGAACATATCCCAGTGCTGCAGTTTTGCCCTTCACTGGAGCTTGTTCATCTTGCTTGCAGAGTAGCACTGCTTTTCCCTGCTCTGGATCTGAAAGGCACCAATGATCTGTAGGATGGGTTTCCTGCTGGACAGGTGGGAGCTCAAGAGTGCTCAGGTACAGATTTCCTGTTAGCTTTGGCAATTCATGGTTACACAGAGGTTTGCCTCTCCTCTGTCTGTGGGATAGAATATACCGCTTCCCTGTGTGCTGTGGTTTAACCTCAGCTGGCAACTGAGCACCACACAGCTGCTTGCTCACTCTCCCTGCCCCCGGCGGGATCGGGGAGAGAATCAGAAGAGTAAAAGTGAGAAAACTCATGGGTTGAGATAAAAACAGTTTAATTATTGAAATAATAATAATAGAATATACAAAGCAAGTGATGCACAATGCAATTGCTCCCCACCCACTGACCGATGCCCAGCCGGTCCCCAAGCGGCAGCTCCCTCAGCCAGCTTCCCCCAGTTTATGTACTGAGCACGACGTCACATGGTATGGAATATCCCTTTGGCCAGCTGGGGTCAGCTGTCCTGGCTGGGCCCCCTCCCAGCTTCTTGTGCACCTCCAGCCTTCTCAGTCGGTAGAGCATGGGAAGCTGAAAAGTCCTTGACTAGTGTAAGCACTACCTAGCAACAACTAAAACATCAGTGTGTTACCAACATTGTTCTCACCCTAAATCCAAAACACAGCACTGTACCGGCTGCTAGGGAGAAAATTAACTCTACCGCAGCCGAAACCAGGACACTCTGTCAGAGGAATGTTCTGAGGTCTAATAGCAAAAGGATGATTCTTTCATTTACTAGATTATCTAAGTGTGTAAGATGCATTTGCCCACATTGATAAGCTCTGTGATCCTGAGTCCCCTCTGGGCTTCTGGCAATGGTGATTTGTTATTTGTTCCGCAAATGCGTGCAGTGCTGTAAGGGTGGCTGGCAGGGACTGTGTGTATCAGTTGCAGTCCTTGGGTCACACTTCAGCAGCAAGCTGTGTGGGGCTGCCAACCCCGATATTTGGTGCTTTTCCCTATGCCTTAACTCAAAGGGCAGTGAGGCCACATGGAAATACCTCTTTAGAATAGAAAAATTCTGTACTGCTAATGTTGCTGTGTATTAGGGC